AGTCTGCACTTCAGAAAAGGTGACTGGTCCAGAAACTGCACACTTACCTTTGAGGACACCCGATACTGGCTGTTTGCGGCGACTCTGCCCTCGTTAGACTTGTTTATCAGTCTTTTGGGGGTAGAAGAAATTGGAGTTGTGCACTGGCTTGGGCGTGAGTGCCTGGATCCTCTGGGAACTGACCATCTGTGAGGACGGTTAAGGATGTTCTCTGCAGGTGGAGTGGCAATCTGGGGAGCATGTGACTTTTAGACAGTGGTCATTTACACTAAAATTCCCAAAGGTCACCTTTCCCAATTTCTCATCAAAATCTTTCCTTGGGGCTAAGAGGAGAAAACATTACAACTCTCAGATTCTGGAAAGCAATATGAACCTTATCAAGATGGCGGGCTGGGGTCCTGATGCAGAGGGGCGTGGTCTTCTGCAGAGTTCATTGAGCCCTTGCGGGTCTGTAGGTCGGTTTCCACTCTTTGCTTTTAACCCCTTCTTGCCTAATTTTTACCACTGGTAAGGAATGAATTGGGAAAATTCTTTATAGTGTTCGAGGTGAAATAAATTTATGTAATACTCATATACTGGGCATCTAGAAAATGCCACACAACTATCTCCTCTTTCTTATTACCCTTTTCAATGAGCAGGCAAAACCCATAGGAATAAGAGTCATTTCAAAGATTTATTTTGGATTCCAGTTGTGTACACTCGTGTGTGTGTGTGTGTGTGTGTGTGTGTGTGTGTGTGTGTGTGACAGGGGTGTGCTTGTGCACGTGCTTACAGATGCTCTCAGAGTCCAGAAGAGGGCGTCAGATCCGCTGGAGCTCCAGTCAAAGCTGTTTGTGAGCCACCTGCTTTGGCTGCTGCAGGCTGAATCCAAGCCTTCTGGAAGAATAGTGGGTGCTCTTAACCACTAAGCCATCTTCCCAGCCCATGAGGCAGCCATTTAGGTGTGTGTGTGTGTGTGCATGTTCTTGTATGTTGGGAAGTGTAAGGTTGTGCTGAGCTTGCTCTGGAGAACCCCTGTCTTCACCTTCCCAGGCTTAGGCAGCCATGCTTTCTGGGATCCCAAACTCACACCATGTTTGTAAGGCAAGCACTTTAATTACTAAGCCATCTCTCTAGTTCCTCAGGGCAGACCACGATTTGTAAGTGGCAAATCAGCTGCTTGTTTTTTCCTGGGCCAAGGTAGAGCCTAGAAGCATCACTTCTACTGGCCCCAAATAGCATCTACTCCTGTGCTGCCTGGTGCTGGAGTGAGTGGGACCAGAACTCCCAGAGGATCCTTAAGATGCACAGTGCTTTCCTCCTCTGATCCTCTGCTGCAGGTGGAGAAGTAGGTGGTCTCTCCTCCCTTAAACAAAAGGTGCATTTTCCAAACAGTTTTATTTTCCCCGGGTTGAGAAGCATGGGCAAGTTGGCCACCTTGCTCGCCTTGCAAGCGGGAGAGAACAGTGCCCACTAGACCATGAGCAGGGATGTGACTGTCCAGCATGTTAAGATCTCGTGAGGTCTGCACACAAAGAGACCCGTGTCCTTGAGCTGAAGCTTAAAGACTTTGTGAATGTCAGAGCTCACCATGGATGAGTCATGCTGACTCTGAGCGGTGTCTACAGTGCATACTTAGGGAATGTTGGAGCCAGTGCTTCTTAATGCTTTTTCCTACTTCTCTTCTTCCATCTTCTTCTCCCCTCCTTAATCTTCATACTATACTCGCTTCCCTCCTTTCTTTCTCCTCTTCCCTTGCCAGTTTCTCCTCCTTTTCCATCTGCCTTCTTCCTCTCCTGTCTTTTCTTCCTTTTCCTTTCTCTTATCCTTCCTCTTTTCCTGCCTAACCTTTTCCCCGTTTCTTCCTCCTCTTCCTTCTTCAACTTTCCATTCTTCCTCCTCCCCTTCCTTCTTATTTCTTCTCTTCCTGTCTTGATAGATCCTGTTTATACCCAGGAACAAATATACCAGGAATGCATCAGAAGGCATCGCTCTGTGTCTTGGCCAGCACCAGGGGAGTTTTCTGTTTAGAAGTACTTGCTAATCTGAATGGCTCCTGCGAACTCCTTGTTTGTGTGCACATCCTTAACACACCAGCAAGGGTGAAATCCCAGCTCCCTCTGTCTTGTCAAATGGTGAGAGAAAAAAATGATTTCCACGTAGCAGTCCATTGACTGCTCCACTTCATTTGGTGGATTAATCTTCCCTTTCCTGCCGGCTTGCCACACCTCTCTGATCCTCCCAGAAGATCCATCTATGAGGAACTGTATTCCTGGACTATCTGTACTGAGCTATTGACATCTTAATGATGACAATCACTTGGCCTGTGGGCATAGGTTTTGAATGAGTGCTCTTTGGATACACAGATATTCAGAGAGTAGATTAATCTTCGACTCTGAATTTTGGCACACTGCTATGTGTGTGTTCCCTATCTGGAGCTAAGATAAGGCTGTGTCACCAGTTTAAACAGTTCTAAGGGTCCCTAATGCCATGCTGATGACTTGCTGAGGGTCACTTGATGCCCTGAAGGTTCACGTTGGCCTGTGAAGTTGACTTGACAGCACGCTCTGGTTAGCATCAGTTCCAGCATGGAGAAGCACCAGTGATACTTAGCTGACCAAAGGGAAGACAAGAGGCATCACTTACTCATTCTACGAGCACACACCAAATGGCTGTTCTGGCGATGAATGTGCATAGATGTCCCAAGCCTTGTTGGGTGACACTTTTCCTGGTGAGACATGAACAGATATGTTTGTCCCAAATGGAGCACAGATGACAAACCAAAGACTGAGTCCACTGTAGTCTTCTTTTGGGAACCAGTGAGTTTACTGGGATTACTTACAGGAGCGTGAGGGACTCAAAGCAGTTGCATCACCAAAAGTCTGCCCAACATGGGGAAGGACTCATAACAGCTTCATCCCTGCAGCTCCCTGTACTTGGTTCACAGGTTAGAAACATTCCCTGCCCCAGCCTAGTAACTGCTTATGTAACATTGACAGGGGTTTTTTGAGTCTTGTAAGTTCTCGGGACTTTCTGTGCCTTGTGAGTTTTGTAGCCTTCTTCTAGTCTTAATGACTCTCCCTCCAGGAGGGAATGTTTCATTGCAGAGGAAGTAGTTATCCAGCTGATTTGGTCTCTTTCCCTACATAATTCAGTTCAGGTGCGAGTCCTACAATTCGTAACTAAAGCACAATGAAACAACAACTGAGCATGTGGCTCCTCCTCTGACAACAAGGTGCCAGGTAGACCATGGGTAAAGACATCCCCAGGGGCCATAGCAACAGGTACATAGAACGGTAAAAGCAACACGTTACTATTCATGCAGTGGTGGGGATGGGGGAAGTACAAAAGAGATAAGCAGGCTTGGAGGTTATGTTGAGGTGTTTTTCTTGGTTTTAGGTCAAAATATCACTGAAGTTTGTAAAGCAGTATTGAATTACCTTTGGGGAAAGTAATCTCCAGTTCTATGGAAGATTAGGTATGGAGACAGTATTGTGGTGCCATAATCCCAAATGCAAGTGTGGATTCCTGATTGCATTATCCCACCAAGCTTGTTGTGGAGCATGTACAAAGCCACGGGTCCAGCCCTAGCGCTGAGTAAACTCAGCATGATGGCACACACGTGTGGTCCCAACACTTGGGGAATAGGATGGGATGAGCAGACATTAGTGTCACCCTCAGCTCCATTCTAAGTCTGAGCCAAATCCTAGCTATGCGAGACAACCACCACCACCACCACCACCACCACCACCACCACCACCACCACCACCAGCAACAACCTTACAGGTTATTTTTTCAAGAGAGGAGTGGAAATGCATACTATTAGAGGTACTATTTCTTGCCACTTTCTTGTGATACTTTGATGTTTTAAAACAAAGCGGGCCTTGGTAGTGAAGACCTACCTGTTATTCATGAGCCTAGACTGAAGGCTTGCAAGTTGAAAGTCATGTCTCTAAACAAAAAGTATAAAGAGGGTTAGGGATGCTGCTCAGGGATAGAGGGGATGGCGTTGGGGTGTGGCTCTGCTGTTGAGTGGTTATTTAGAATCCTCCAATGAGGGCCTAGAGGTGTGGTTCAGAGATAGGGTAGTGCCTACCTGGAATATGCGGGTGGACTTGGTTTAGTGTAGACTATTGTCTTAGGGTTTCTATTGCTGTGATAAAACACCATGACCAAAAATAACTTGGGAAAGAAGGGTTTTATTTTAACGTACATGTCGGGATTATAATCAGACATGAAGGGAAGTCAGGGCAGAAGCCTGAACTTGGAGATAGGCACTGAAGCAGAGACCCTAGAGGAGTGTTGCTCACTGGCTTGCTCCTCATGCTTGCTCAGCTTGCTTGCTTATACCATCCAGGACCACCTTCCTAGGGGTAACACCACCCACAGTGGGGTATACTCTCCCACATCAACCGTTAATCAAGAAAATGCCTCACGGATTTGGCTACAGGCCTATCTTCTGTGGACATTTTCTCAATTGTTTTCTCTTCCCAAAGAAGTTTGATTCAAGTGAACAGCAACAATTTTACCTACCTAGGACGAGTTCCTATCTAAAATCCTTCTGTGGGGAGTTGGGGTTATGGCTCAGTGATAGAATGCTTTTCTAGAATTGCCCACTAAGGGGGTGGGATGGTGACTTAGGAGTGAGTGCCTGCCTAGAATCCCCCACTGAGGGGCTGGGGTGTGGCTCAGTGGTAGAGCACCTGCCTAGAATCCCCCAGTGAGGGGCTGGGGTGTGGCTCAGTGATAGAGCACCTGCCTAGAATCCCCCAGTGAGGAACTGGGGTGTGGCTCAGTGGTAGAGCACCTGCCTAGGATGTTTGAACATCCCCAGAATTAGGAAAAAAACGTAACCATTGTTAAACAATTCTCAGTTACATCACCAGCTGTTTTTATTTTATTTTATTTTATTTTATTTTATTTAGGTCATGTCAAGGAGAAAAAGCAGAGGTGTTTACCGCATCGGGGCTGTTGATCACACTTCTGGTACTTTTCCACTCATACCTCTTTTCTCCTTCCAGGAGATGGGCAGGTGGACTTTGATGAATTCATGACAATTCTTGGGCCCAAGCTGGTGTCGTCGGAAGGTCGTGATGGTTTCCTTGGAAATACGATAGACAGCATCTTCTGGCAGGTAAGTGAGATGTTCATATACGCTTCAGTCTGGAAGTGAACTTTTAGGATGCCTTTTAGGATGAGCTGACTTTGACTATGAAGCCTTGAGTGTCTCTTCAGACTGAAGTGAACTCTCTTGGTCTGGAGTGATGGGTGCTCTTTGAATCAGATGTCTCAGTTGATGTCTATGCCATTCTCAGTTCGGACTTAGAGAAGTGTGCTGTCTCCTGACATCTTTTCCTTGGAGCAGAGAGAGTCTGAATTTGTGGGAGTGAAGTTCTTTCATGTCCAACTCGTGAGAGGCTTTATCTTGGGGACTTTGAAAAGGGGACATTGGTGTTATCTATGAAAATTCTTTCTTTAGGCTAACTCCCTAAATGTTCTCAGTTTAGGGGTTCAAGAGAGACACTGAGGCAGGTTATCTATCCTTTTAGGTAAGAGGGTCATTGGGAGAGTTACTAACACCTTAGGCAAACAGGCGTTAGAGGAGTTCTGAGGAGAATTTGGTTCCATGAGATAGAGTGGAGGTGGTGGTCCGATGCTGTGTGCTTGCTGTAGCATATGCTCGCAGTCAGATTGTGTCTGCCTCAGTAGCAGGAGTTGGTCCCTCTCATTGCTGTGTGCCCATCACATTGGATATGATCCCTGTAGTGTCTGGTTGCTTAGGGTGTTCAGTAAACTTCCTCTGGGAAAGGGAGGATTGCCGATTCCCAGGCAATCACAGCATGGTGGCTTCATTCCTTCTACAGCAGCAGAGAGGAGAGAGAGAGAGAGAGAGAGAGAGAGAGAGAGAGAGAGAGAGAGAGAGAGAGCATGTGTGCAGGAGAGCTTACCCTGAGTAGCTGCTAGCCCAAACCTGACAATCCCAAGAGATTCCCTGCTGACAGCGTATCTGGTAGCTCGTGTTGGATCCCATCAGCACGGATGCTCTTCATATGACGTGATGGCCTTATCTAAGGGTCTGCTTCCAATGCTGTCAATTTACTGTCTTGTGAATTCTTGTTGGAGATTACTGATGCCTACATCCTAATTATTAGAGTGCCACTAAATCACTTTTACATCACTTCTCTGTTCTAAGATGTAACTGTTATTTCATGCTTATGGAATTGGGGGAATGAGTTATTAATCTTTGCTTTTAAAACATGAGCCAGATGAGTTGTCAAGTTCAATCAAACTGAATTTCTTTTTAGGTGCCTAAAAAACACGATTGAAACCAGGCAGTGTGGAACATACCCGGAGTCTTAGTACTCAGGAGACTGAAGCAGGAGAGTTGCTATGAATTTGAAGCCAGTCTGGGCTACAAAGTTTACAGGGTGTGAGACTCTGTCTCCCAAAACCAAAATCCAAACTAAAATAATAACAAACAAAAAGAAAAATTAAAGTAAAAACTAGGAAAGAGTAAATTTTAAAAAAATACAAGCACCATCCGAACACAGTATTTCTTTGATTTCTTAAGAGAGTTTTGTTTTTTTTTTTCAGTGACTAAATTTTCCTAAGACGGATTAGCAAACCTTTTCCTCATCTCTCTTCTTACTCTGATACTCCTCACCCATCACATAGGCAAGAAGTATACAAATATCTTTGGCTGTGCCAATAATAGATGACAGACACAATCTGGAGGAAGAAAGATTCATTTTGGCTCCCTGTCTCAGAGGATTCGGATGGTCACTTGACTGACCGTGTTTGGGCAGGACATGGGAGCACATGGCCCAGGAGGGATGTTCCCTCACTTTACAGGGACAGGAAGCAGAGAGCAAAACAGGAAGGGGCTGGGTATCATATCCCCCAGGGACCTTACTCTAATGACTTATCTTTTCAAGATCCCATAACATCACAAAATAGAGCCATCTCAGAGAGGAAGGAAGGAACTGTGGGTAGCAGATTCATATCTTACATGGAGACCCCAATTCTCCACAGATTCTTCACAGTATGGTATCTCCAGGACCTGGCCATGGCCACATTTTCCAATGGGACACTGACTCTCTTTAGCATGGTTCTGCCATGCCAGCTAGTATGATCGCAGATTTTCTATGGATTTGTTACACTGTAGGTCTCCCACCCCTGGAGTGATAACATGGGGTGAAGCAAAGTGAACCAAGGGGGAAATTGTATCTAAGATTATTTATTTTTATGGATTTTGTGACTACATGTGTGTGAGTGTGTGTGAACATAAGTGTCCTTCAGGAACCACCTATTTTTGGTGTTTGGAGCAGGATCTCTCACTGGCCTGGAATCCACTGATTCAGCTAGCCTCACCAGTCAACAAGCTCCTATTTCAGCCTCCCCCAGTTGCTCAGATAATAAACTCAGGACACTATACACAGGTTTGGTTTTGTTTGCTTTGTTTTGTGGGTGGGGGGAGTCTGGGAATCAAACTCAGGTCCTCCCGCTTGTAAGGCAAGCATGTTACTAACTGAGTCATCTCCCCATCCCTACTTTGTAATATTTAAATGGGTGCTGGCATGCAGAGGCTTGCGATTATGTCTTCCCTCTCCAGCAGTTACTTCCCCAACTAGCACACAAGCAATGGATCCCATTAGTCATTATCTGTTGCCTGGTCACTGAGAGAAGCCGCAAGAGGAAACTGTGAAACAGCCGCCACAGCCACCCCTGCAGGGAGAGATGCTCACAGCCTCTGTGCTTGGGGGAGGGGGTGTTAAGACAAGGTTGTGCGCCTGTGTGCACAAATGGTACATGTGCATGAACATATCTATCTAGTCAGTGACAATGGTCGATAGTCTAAGAAAGGAGCAGAAAGGCGGGGCTCTGCCCCTAGTATTCCAGGAGAGGATAGTTCTGTAGAAAGGGCACCAGGCTAAGAGACTGGCACCATGTTCTGTCCTAGCTGGTATCTAGTTCTCACAGAAGGAAAGGTACTCGGATTCAGCTGTGGCTCCTCACATGGCATCATCATCGAGAAGCAGAAGATGGCAATGAGTATCTGTTAGTCTCACAGTCCCAGTGGGTCATGAATTTGCGAGTAGCCCAGCTGGGTACTCTGGCTCTGGTTCTTTCAGAGGCTTGCTGTCGGGGTGCCTGTGGTGGTCATTAGAAGGCTTAGCTGAGGCACAGGGACGTACTTTCGGCTGCCTCGTTGCCCTGCCTGACAACCTGTCCTCAGGTCCCCACCAAAGGACCTCTCCATAGTGCCATTTCAGCGTCTTGATGTGACGCTGGCCTCTCTTAAAGCAAAGAAAGGATCGAAGCTAGTGTAGTGCAGAAGGCATGCAGACTTTAATACTTAACTTGTGTGTTAGTGTGTGTGTGTTCCAGTGTGCACATGTGTGTATGTGTTCCCAGTGTGCACATGTGTGTGTTCCCAGTGTGCACATGTGTGTGTTCCAGTGTGTATATGTGTGTATATGTTCCCAGTGTGCACGTGTGTGTATGTGTTCCCAGTGTGCGTATGTGTCTATGTGTTTCCAGTGTGCACATGTGTCTGTGTTCCAGTATGCACGTGTGTGTGTGTTCCAGTGTGCACATGTGTGTGGAAACTGGAAGTCAGCTTCAGGCATTGTTCCCCAGGATCTGGCCACTTTGTTTTACGACACAGTCTCTCACTGGGGCTTATCAATTAGGCTAGGCCAACTGGCTAGAAAGTGTCAAGGATCCACCTGTCCCTGCCTCCCCCATACCAGAATCACAAGTACACACCTGTCCAGCTGTTAATATGTAACATGACTGCTGGGAAGTGTGCTGGGGCCCTCAGGCTTGCTAAGCAAGCATTTACTGACTGAGCTATCCCCCAGCCCAAGTTTCCACTCCTGATCTGATATTGCTGCCACAAGCCTTGCTTTTTCTCAGGCTTTGAATTCCTCCTACCTTAGAGAGCACCCAGAGGTAGGGAGGCTCTGCTCTACATCCTGGACAAGAAGTCTGACTAAGCACTGAGCTCATCTTCCTAACTAAATCTGTTTTCTGATGCTCTTACCTTCCTGGAGTTGTAGCCTACATTGCCAAGGGTAAAATAAAATCAAGTGTCATTCTATATATAAAAAAAGCAATTATGACTGTTTATGATTTGGTACTAGTCCTAAAATTATGACGTACTGCATTAGGGAAGGGAATTGGTATTGGTGATGGTGGGATATAACTCTACCCACGGCTTCCTTCCTAAAGGACATAGCCTGCCAGTCATGTTCTAAATAATCTGTCTCATCCAACGAGGGTATTCTGTGCCTGTGTGTGAGACTCAGAGTCCCTGGCATCCAGTTCAGGACCCTCTTAGATAGTAGCTTATAACGTGTAAAACTTTGGTGTATGTGTGTGGTTGTGTACATATAGAGCCCAAAGGCGACCTCAGGTGTTGTCCTAAGTCGCCCGTCCCCATCCAGGGTCTCTCACGGGCTTGTCAATCACCATAGGCTAGCCGGCCAGTGAGTCTCTGCTGCTTCAGTACTGGGGTTCTACAAGCACTTGCTACCATACCTGGAGATTTGTAAAGGTCCTGGGAGTGGAATTCTGGTCCTCCTGTTTGCACAGTAAATGCTTTAGCAACTGAGTTATCTCCCCTGCCAGAGATATGTTATCTTTTGGAGACAGGGTCCTGCTGTGTATCTAATTCTGCTGCTTCAGCCTGGAGTGCTGGAATTATAGGCACCTCCCACCACGCTGAGCTGAGAACTTTGGAAACTTTACTGTAGTCTTCTCCTTCCGTGTATCAAATTTCAGGGTATTTTAGGTTATTGCAGGGATATTATGAGGGAGGAAATGTGAAATTGTGTTTGAAGCTGACCTTGGGGCTTGATGTACTGCAATGATGGGAAGGAAGAAAGGAAGAGGCTGAAAAGCTTTGGATCCAGGATTGTAGGTTGGCCCTCGTGCTCGACATTCCCGGGGTGACATCAGCAAATGACGACTTATCCCAGATAGGGAACCAATGACAGATGAAAGTCAACTTTGCAACCTCATGAGCTTCCTGGGGTTATTTCAGTCATGTGGGGAAGGGGCATGGGAAGCTCAAAGGCCCCTGTGTTAGTGGAAAACCCACTCTAGCATGGGTAACAGCTCAAACAAGCG